GAACTTTCAACCCAGAATTTCATATCCAGCCAAACTGAGCTTCATAAGTGAAGGAAAAATAAAATCCTTTGTGAACAAGCAAGTACTCAGAGATTATGTCACCACCAGGCTTGCCTTACAAGAACTCCTGAAAGAGGCACTACACATAGAAAGGAACAACCAGTACCAGCCACTCCAAAACATACCAAAAGGTAAAGAGCATCAACAAAATGAAGAATCTGCATCAACTAACAGGCAAAACAGCTAGCTAGCATCAAAATTGCAGTATCAAATTCACACATAACAATATTAACCCTAAATGTAAATGGGCTAAATGCACCAATCAAAAGACACAGACTAGCAAATTGGCCAAATATTCCAAAAAGAGGGAATCCTTTCCAAATCATTTTATGAAACCAACATCATCCTGAAACCAAAACCTGGCAGATTCAACAAGAAAAGAAAACTTCAGGCCAATATCCACGATGAACATAGATGCAAAAATCTTCAATAAAATACTGGCAAGCCAATAGCCACAGCACATTAAAAAGCTTATCCACCATGATCAAGTAGGATTCATCCCGGGCATGCAAGGCTGGTTCAACATACACAAGTCTGTAAACGTAATTCACCACATAAACAGAACCAAAGACAAAAACCACATGATTATCTCAATTGATGCAGAGAAGGCCTTTGACAAAATTCAACAGCGCTTTATGCTAAAAAACCCTCAATAAATTTGGTATTGACGGAACGTATCTCAAAATAATAAAAGCTATTTATGACAAACCAATAGGCAATATCATACTGAATGGGCAAAAACTGGAAGCATTCCCTTTAAAATCTGGCACTAGACAAGGATGCCCTCTCTCACCACTCCTATTCAATACAATACTGGAAGTTCTAGCCAGAGAAATTAAGTAAGAAAAAAAAAATAAAGGGTATTCAAATAGGAAAGGAGGGAGTCAAATTGTCTCTATTTCCACATGACATGATTGTGTATCTATAAGACCCCATTGTCTCAGCCCAAAATCTCCTGAAACTGATAAGCAACTTCAGCAAAGTCTCAGGATACAAAATCAATGTGCACAAATAACAAGCATTCCTATACATCAGTAACAGACTTAATGAGAGCCAAATCAGGAATGAACTGCCATTCACAATTGCTACAAAGAGAATAAAATACCTAGGAATACAACTAACAAGGAATGTAAAGGACCTCTTCAAGGAGAACTACAAACCACTGCCCATTGAAATGAGAAAACACAAACAGATGGAGAAACATTCCATGTTCATGGTTAGGAAGAATCAATATCGTGAAAATGGCCATAGTGCCCAAAGTAATTTACAGATTCAACACTGTCCCCATCAAGCTACCAATGACCTTCTTCACAGAACTGGGAAAAAACACTTTAAACTTCATATGGAACCAAAAGAGAGCCCGCATCATAGCCAAGTCAATTCTAGGTAAAAAGAACACAGTGGGAGGCATCACACTACCAGACTTCAAACTATACTACAAGGCTACAGTAATCAAAACAGCATGGTACTGGTACCAAAACAGAGATATAGACCAATGGAACAGAACAGAGGTATTGGAGGCAACACAACCATACAATGTTTGATAAACCCGACAAAAACAAGCAATGGGGAAAGGATTCCCTATTTAATAAATGGTGTTGGGAAAACTGGCTAGCTATGTACATAAAGCAGACACTGGACCCCTTCCTGACACCTTACACCAAAATTAACTCCAGATGGATTAAAGGCTTAAACATAAGACCTAACACCATAAAAATGTTAAAGAAAATCTAGGCAAAACCATTCAGGACATAGGAGTAGGCAAGGACTTCATGAACAAAACACCAAAAGCATTGGCAACAAAAGCCAAAATAGACAAATGGGACCTAATCAAACTCCACAGCTTCTGCATGGCAAAAGAAACAGTCATTAGAGTGAATCGGCAACCAACAGAATGGGAAAAAATTGTTGCAGTTTACCCATCTGACAAAGGGCTGATATCCAGAATTTACAAAGAACTCAAACAGATTTACAGGAAAAAAGCAAACAAGCCCATTCATAAGTGGGCAAAGGATATGAACAGACACTTTAAAAAGAAGACATACATGAGGCCAACAATCATATGAAAAAATGCTCATCATCACTGATCATTAGAGGAATGCGAATCAAAACTGCATTGAGATACCATCTCACGCCAGTTAGAATGGCGATTAAAAAATCTGGAGACAACAGATGCTGGGGAGGATGTGGAGAAATAGGAACACTTTTACACTGCTGGTGGGAGTGTACATCAGTTCAACCATTGTGGAAGACAGTGTGGCAATTCCTCAAGGACCTAGAAATAGAAATTCCATTTGACCCAGCAATCCCATTACTGGGTATATATCCAAAGGACTCTAAATCATTCTACTATAAGGACACATGCACATGAATGTTCATTGCAGCACTGTTTACAATAGCAAATACCTGGAATCAACCCAAATGCCCATTGATGATAGACTGGACAGGGAAAATGTGGCACATATACACCATGGGATATTATGCAGCAATCAAAAACGATGAGTTTGTGTCGTTTCTAGGGACATGGATGAACCTGGAGAACATCATTCTCAGCAAACTGACACAAGAACAGAAAATGAAATACCGCATGTTCTCACTCATAGGCGGGTGTTGAACAATGAGACACATGGACACAGGGAGGGGAGCACTACACACTGGGGTCTGTCGGGGGGAATAGGGGAGGGACAGCAGGGGGTGGGGAGTTGGGGAGGGATAGCATGGGGAGAAATGCCAGATATAGGTGAAGGGGAGGAAGGCAGCAAATCACACTGCCACCTTTGTACCTATGCATTATCTTGCATGTTCTTCACATGTACCTCAAAACCTAAAATGCAATAAAAAAAAAAGAAATGAAATTGATTTTACTTGACATAAAATGATAGTAATTTGCTCTGGTGACGTGTTCTGTTTTCTTCTGGGTAAGATTTAATCTTATTCCAAATCTAAGCAAGTTGCTTAGATTGAGAATAAATGGATTAAAATGGATAATGAGAACTGAACAGAAGAACTTTCACCCCCTGTCAGATCCAAACAATTTAATTAGAGCGCAACACACTCTGTTGGAAGACTTCCTATCAATGCAGCCTTTAAAAAGTTCCTTCTCTCAGCTGTGCCTGTATTTTGCAGTATATAAGTTAATTAAAATAATAACAATCTAGTGAGTTCCTATGGTGGTTTTCCTTGGGCTAAATTTTATTACAATTTCATTGCTTAAATTATGTTATTATTTTATTCTTCATATTTTATTATTGTTTTAATTATACAAAAATAAATAAGTCTAGGTATTCTCTCAGAGGATATTTAAATTAGTCAGAGACAGATAAAGTAATAATTACAGTACTATGGGAAGATTTCTACTGAAAAAAATGTATGTATACACATGCATTTATTATTGCTGTCATTTAAAACTCCATAAAATGACAGTAAAACATAAAGTTAAATAATTGTAAACACATTAACCTGCCTAAAAATATAACAGAAGTAAACATACAGATAAAATTTATAAAGCTGAAACCCAGGAGAATGAGTAGTAAACAACAGCAAACCTGAAATATCATAAACTTAAGATCACTCCGAAGATTCCCATGTTGCTCAGTTCTCATTGAACAGAACTCCCTGCTCAATCGTCAAGACTACAGAGTAAGAAAAGCTGGAGAAGACACATGATAACATTCTCTCTATTAGGGACATATATATTTAGCTTGATTTTTTTTTTCTGGTGGAAAGAACTGATTCTTCTGGGCACAGCAGCTCATGCCTGTAACCCCAGCACTTTGGGAGGCTGAGGTGAGTGGATCACCTGAGGTCAGGAGTTCAAGACCAGCCTGGGCAACATAATGAAACCCCATCTCTACTAAAAATACAAAAAATTAGCGAGGCATAGTGGCACAAGCCTGTAATCCCAGCTACTCAGGAGGCTGAGGCAGGAGAATCACTTGAACCCAGGAGGCAAAGGTTGCAGTGAGCCGAGATCACGCCATTGCACTCCAGCCTGGGCAACAAGAGCGAAACACCATCTCAAATAATAATAATAATAATAAAAGTATTGATTTCATGAAAATATTTTAATAATTTTATAAGGTACCTTCTCAGAATTGATAGGTGCATATTTACATGTAAAAACTGGCAAAATAATTGGCAGCAAGACACATTTACATGACTTCATTTCTAGGTTTGTAATATTCTCTCCAGTGAACAGAATCAAGGGGCATATTTTATAAAATACATTTTAAGTGATCTGTAAAGCCCTAAAGATTCGGCAATATCTAATTCTGCCCATAGCACCCAGAATCAATGGGGAAAATAGAATTGTTAAAAATAAATTCACCAAAGTTTTTAAGAAACCAGACATACTATCCATGACTTGTGTGATTATGAAAACGTATCACTCATGAAATTTTCATGAATAGACCCATGCGACCTATAGTTGTATAACATGACAGGCTTGCTTGGAATGAGGACATAACATGAACAGATGAATAGAAAATGGAACAGAGGAGACAAATTTCCTACATTCCAAATTTGACTGTTCCTAGTCTAAAGCCGTAAATAAATGCCCACAGCACTGATTAAAACTCTCTATCTCTTTGGGAGAAATGAGAGAACAGATAACCAGCTTTGGTAAAGACATAGATAGCATCACTTCACTTTCTACAAAAAAAAATTGTATAATAAGAAAATAAACAATTTTGTTTTGGTAAGTTCAACAACTTAAGACGAAATAAATAAATTCCCTGAAAGGTAGAGACTGCCAATGCTTGCTAAAGAGACAATAGCATGAATAGTCATATGGATATTAAATAAGTTGAGATTATAGTTAAAAACTTTTGCCTGAAAAAACATAGTTAGGTTTGTCAGGCACAGTTGCTGATGCCTGTAATACCAACACTTTGGGAGGCTGAGATGGGAGCATTGCTTGAGTCTAGGTGTTTGAGACTAACCTGGGCAACATAGTGAGACTTTGACTGTACAAAAATATGCACAAAATTAGCCAGGAGTGTTCGCCCATGTCTGTAGTCTTGGCTATTTGGGAGGCTGAGGTGTGAAGATTGCTTGAGTCCAGAAGGTCGAGGCTGCAGTGAGCTGAGATCACGCTATTGCACTCCAGGCTGGGTGAGACCCTGTCTCAAGTAAGAATATAAATAAAATTAAATATTAAAAATAAAATATTTGGGTCTGGGATTTGGTTTGACCCTAATTTTCCAAACTACTAAGTCAACTGAGTACTAGTTTCATCGATGCTTTATAGAAAACACAAGGTTTGTATGTCAGAAAGGACTTTATCACTCATATCACAAGAAGCATGAGCATTAGCATAATTGCTTCAATTTCTTTTGCTGTACTTGACAGAGTTGCACCTCAGAGGGATCCAGAGGGGTCTATATACATAGTGAGATTCTATTTCACCTGAGGAGGACTGAATGTAGGGATTCCACTACTTTTATAGTGAGTAGTATCATGGCCTTCTCTCTGCCTCTGAGAGAAAATTTTAAATTAGTAAATAAATACACAGTTTGTGAAAAAAGGTAAACAGTAATACAGTAGCTCAGCAGAGAGTTGGGGTAGAGTCTTCTCAGAGCAAATTATTCTTTAACTCATCAAAAGATAAATTGGACTTATTCACAAGATTGAGGACAAAGGTGCTAAGCGGCATTCAGCTAAGTAACATTCAAGAATATGTTTCATTGGCAAGGACCCCAGGTAGTTCAGCGGAGTGGGAATGGGGAATGTAGGAGAGGAGGCAACTGTTGAGGGAGGAGTTGGCTGAGTCAGTGTTCAAGTCATGAAGGAGGATCTTCTATACTCAAAAGGGGATTGACAGAACAGATTTGTCTGAGGCAAGAGTGTTCTTTCAAATGGGAGATGTATTGGAAAATGAGGAAACAAACAGGTCACTTAGGTGGCTGGTGAAGTAATCTTTAAAAAAATGGTAGCAGTGGAGATGGAGAGTAAACACACCCTATCTATTCTAAAGAGATGGAATATATAGGTCCTGGGATAGGTCGGCAAGGTGAAGTCACAGCTGAATTGCAGGTTTCTGTTTGGGCTTCTGGGAGAATGTACTGAGAAAAGAGTTTAAAGGAGGAGACATTTTTATGGGAAATGATGAGTACTGTTTCACATTTGTGTTTGTAAGATGTGAGGTGTCTAAGTTCAGCTGCCCAATAGACAAAAGACTCAGGAAAAAGTATGGACTGGAGACAGTTATTGGAGCCCTGAGCCCAGTTGAAATCTTATGAGAGTACATGAAGTGATAAGAGTACCTTGGAAAGAACTCGAATGCATGCCAACATTTAGGGAGAACATTTATAGAGGACAGACTAAAACTAAGAGAGCAGGAATGATCAGAGGAAAACTTGACAAGAATAGTGTTTCAGAAATTAGGAGAATATTTTTAAAAAAGAAGACTGGCAAATGCTACAAAATATAACACAAAGACAAAAAAAAAGTGTGTCTCAAATTTCACAATAATAAAGGATGATGTAGTGAGAGCAGCAGTTACCTTAGCTACCATGAGGCAGTGGGGTGGAAGTTCCATGTTACAGTGAATTGGAAGGAGAAAGTAGAGAGAGCAAGGGTGACCATTTTTAAATTTTTATTTTATTTTAAGTTTCAGGATGCATGTGCAGGATGTGCAGGTTTGCTACATAGGTAAACGTCTGCCATGGTGGTTTACTGCATCTATCAACCCATCACCTAGGTATTTAGTCCCACATGCATTAGCTATCTATTCTGATTCTCTCCCTCCCACCCCGCTACTCCTGACAAGCTCCAATGTGTGTTGTCCTCCTCCCTGTGTCCATGTGTTCTCATTGTTCAGCTCCCACTTATAAATGAGAATATGCTGTGTTTGGTTTTCTGTTCCTGTGTTAGTTTGCTGAGCATAATGTCTTCCACTCCATTCATGTCCCTGAAAAAGACATCATCTCTTTCTTTTTTAAGGCTGTATAGTATTCTATGGTGTATATGTACCACATTTTCTTTATCCGGTCTATCACTGACGGCTATTTGGTATTTATACCAATGTCTTTGCTATCGGGAACAGTGCTGCAGTGAACATACACATGTATGCATCTTTATAAAGGAATGATTTATATTCCTTTGGGTATTTACCCAGTAATGGGATGAGCAAGAATACACACTTTTAAGTGTGCAGGTCAGAGGAAAGTCAGACTATTTACATTCTTTAGACAATTGGTTCTGAACTAGGATCAGCTATAATCATTTAAAAATCTTAATTCTCAAGGACTAAGGTGACATAGGATAAATAATTTGTCTATGTGGCAATGTTGAGATTTAAGTCAGGCCTTCTGTAACCTGTACTCTTAACCCCAATATTTTCTAGGACACTGTATAATTACTGTGTTCATCTCCATATGGCTGTGTCTTCACAAATCAGATATGTAAGGAGTCTCAAGAAAAGCCTTAAATCATTCAGTTGTATAATGCTCAAGCTGAAGAGAATGAATTCAAGTTGATTATATTATGAATGTTTAGTTGACCCAGGGGTGTTAGGTAAATTTCCCTAACCTACATAGCTACTAAGCCTGAGGCTGAAAGTAGAAGCGTTATCACCTGCCTCCTCATCAGTTCAACATATTAAAAAAAAAAAACTACTCAAAACAACAGTCTAATGTATAAGAGATACAAGCTTTTCTTGTCTGAATGAGCCAGATCACCCCAATTAATCAGACCTAACCCTGCTTTGGTACAATCTACATCCAAAAGTTCAGAAATAAAATTGCTTCAATTGGAAATAAGGTGTTTTTATCCTACATGTCTCTAAACCAGACTCTCCTATGAGTGATAACAAAGACCCAAACATATTAACCCAGACAATAAATACCGATTTAGTGCCCTGGGGCATAAGCCCAGTTCCACTCTTAAGCATTGTAGCTGAAAAATAATATTCTCATTTCCATATAAGAGAAGTAGGGGTTGGCAAAATTCCGGTCCTGAAATTCATAGACATGGGGTAGCACTAGCTAAAATTAAAGTTTTTTTTTTTTAATTTTAGGGGTTTTTTGTTTAATGAGTACAGTTCTTCCTAGTTGTATCTCATCTTTTTGCTCAAAAACAAAGCTTGTTAAAGATTGCCTGACCTCAAAGCTAAGACTGCCTTGATAAGTAAATTAACATACACACAAACCCCAAAATGATTTCCTTTCTTTCTTTTTTTATTTTTTTGAGACGGAGCTTCCCTCTTGTTACTCAGGCTGGGGTGCAATGGTGTGATCCCAGCTCACCGCAACCACTGCCTCCCAGGTTCAAGCAATTCTCCTGAATCAGCCTCCCGAGTAGCTGGGACTACAGGCACACACCACCAGCCCAGCTAATTTTTGTATTTTTAGTAGAGACGAGTTTTCACCATGTTGACCAGGATGGTCTTGATTTCTTGACCTCGTGATCCACCTGCCTCAGCCTCCCAAAGTGCTGGGATTATAGGCATGAGCCACCGTGCCCAGCTGATTTTATTTCTTTAAGTAAAAAATGAAAAGGAGGCTGGGCACGGTGGCTCGCACCTGTAATCCCAGCACTTTGTGAAGCCAAGGCTGGTGGATCACCTGAGATCAGCAGTTCGAGACCAGCCTGGGCAACATGGTGAAACCCCATTTCTAAAAAAAAAAAATTTTTTAATTTTTTAAAAACGAAAAGATAGTTGGATAACTTAGGTATGTGGAATAGAGAAGTCAATGTTCACTCAGGAAGGTCTTGGTAAAAAGAGGCAGAAAAGAGTGTTACGAGAAGGTAAAGAGTAGGGGCCATAAAGAATAGATCATTTAAAATAACTCTAATGCAAAATAGTGCTGTCAGATTTCTAGTTTTTATAAATTTATCAGCTATCTTCTATCTCTATTTAAATCTATGTCCTTTTAATTAGAGAGTTTATCACAACAGCTACGTCCAGAAGTAGACAGATAAAGAAATCCTAAGTCTAAAATTATAACACATTTAACTTATTCCCATGAGAATAGGTTAATTTATGAAAAAGTCACCTGACCTGGGAAATAAATTTAAAATCATGTTTGAAATTTGCATTATTAAGGAAGAACTGATAGCTTAACATTTCTTCTGCACTTCCCATTACTTAATCACTGCTAAAAGCACATGTACAGTTTCTCTTAAGATCTAAACCAATATTTGTGCAATTTAAGAAAACCACCAGCCTTGTATTTTGGAAAACAAAACCTAGAACATTTTCTAAATCATAATGATTTCTAGGTTTGCCTTCCTGAATATGGTAGGGGTTTTTGTAACCAACCACAGATTATTACCACAACCTATGTTCCAGTACCTACATTATGCACATGCATATTTTTCTCAAGAAATTTAGAGCCCCTACATTTTCTCAAAAGCAGATGTTTTCCTTCTTAGATAATATTTTGAAACATACTCACAAGACCTTTAAAATAGAAAGGAAAAACCAAAAGTGTGCATTTTAAGAGATGTATTGCAATAGCTCTTAATTGTGGGAGAAAGAGATTCTGGTCTTTTAAGAAAAAAAAGGAATTTAATGTAATGATCTTGCTTTGATCTAAGAATCTCAGAGGAAGATGGCAAAGGTGCTCACAAGCTCTGCAGGCACAAACAATGCTTAAAGTAATTGAGCAGAAATGGACTACTTGGAACACCAATATCATCATTACTGACATATGCACTAAGTACTTCAGTTTGTACTGCCAATATCACCAGTACTGGATTCTGGACACAGCCATAGCACCACTCTCATGGCTGTCCTGAAAACTATCTCACTGTAATAACCACAGCTGCCAGAGGGTTCTCCAGTTTTCCATGCTCTATGTTACCAGCTTGCAACTTACAGATGCATTTGATTAGCAGAACTAGGTCACATGCTCACACTCTCAATATGAGGAAGTCTGGGAAAGAAATAATGTAGCATCTTCAGCCTCTCTTCCATTCTTTAAAGCCTTGTCATCATCTGCATTGAGGCTAAGTTTCATGGATTCCAGACGTTGCAAAGGGGAAAGAAAATGAAACACAGAAGAAATATGTCTGGAGATCTTAAGTCGCAGAGCTGGAAGTGGCATACATGACATTTGTTCACATTCCTTTGAGGAGAAATTAACGTAGTCACAACTAACGTCAAAAAAGATCGGGA